GGAATTTTGTATAGGTGGCATTTCAAAAGAGTGAAGTATAAAACAATGTTGGAAAATTAGACAGCTTTTTCCCAAAATGAATGCTTAGATTTCTTGTCTCATTTCTTATAACAAAATCAAGTCTGTATTTAGATATAAGGAAATAAAAGTGATGAAAGAAATAATTGATACTTTTTTTTTTTTTTGAGGAAGATTAGTCCTGAGCTAACTACTGCCAATCCTCCTCTTTTTGCTGATAAAGACTGGCCATGAGCTCACATTCATGCCCATCCTCCTCTACTTTATACGTGGGATGCCTACCACAGCATGGCTTTTGCCAAGTGGTGCCATGTCCGCACCCACGATCCGAACTGGTGAACCCCTGGGCTGCTGAGAATCAGAACGTGTGAACTGAACCACTGAGCCACCGGGCCGGCCCCTGATACATTATTTTTAATATGATCACTAAAGGGACAATTTCCTTCATATACAAAGAGCATAGACAAACTAAGAAGAAACAATCCAAAATAAAACAGTCTATGGATATATAATATTTTATATATGCACTCACATATATAACAAATAAATATTTGAAGTAGGTGAACAAGCTCACCTATAATGACCAAAATTTTAATTAAAACAATAATATGCCATTTAAAATACTGAACTGACAAAGATTTGTAAGACTGATAAGACCCAGTATTGATTAGAGTTTTCAGAATCAGAAGTTCTAATATGCCATTTTTGGAAGACAACTTAGCAGTCTCTAAAAATTTGAAATGCACAAAACTTTGACCCCGCACTTCTAGTACTAAGAATAATCCTCCATATGCTTATCTTAAGGATTTTTTTTTTTTTGGAGAATTGCTGTTGTAATGAAAACTTGGAAATCACTTATTTTGCCATCAGTAGGAGACCAGTTAAATAATATATGATACATATCCATATAATAAAATATTGTTGAGCCATTAAAAGAAATGAGGTGTGTGTGTGTGAGTGCTCAAAGAAAATTGCATAACAGTATGAACAATATGATTCATTTTATGTAAGGGAAACTATAAAAATAAAACATCAAAGTTATATACTAAAATTAATAGTAGTCACTTCTATTGATGGGAATTATATATGCCATGGGTAAGTCATAAAGAAGGGGTAAAGAACTTTGGTAAGATTTTGTACTGATAAAACTTTATTCCAACAAATATATTTCTAATTTAAATCGTAATTAAATTTTTATTTTGTAAGGCCAAGTCCAATGGGATCAACTTCATGAATTCTTCCATGAATATTTCATACAGAAAGAATTCCTCTCTCCTGTAAATTTTTTTGTAAATATTGGTATTCCTCACATCATATAGCTCTTTTTGTTGGTTTGCTTAGTTTGACTTATATCTCCTACTATAGTAAAGATCATTGGTAATAGGGCTCAGATCTCACAGTAGATATGAACATATGCGTCTGTGTGTGTCTCTCTCTATCATATATCTTTGCAAATCCGTATCCATATCTATCTTTTCACACAACACAAATTGATTGCAGAAAAATTCCTTCACTTTTGAGTCAACGCCTCCTCTTCTTAGCTTACTCAATCAGCTGAATTATCCACTCTAGAAAATTATTATTTTCAGTTCCCTGTTTGGAATACTCTTTCATATCATCCATCCGTCCAAACTATCTCAGATCTTACCAAAACCTTACTGAATACTGAATTTGTTTCCATTTTTACAGTGTTTAGAGGGTGTTTGTGTATATTTTTGCCTTTTAGTGCACACTGATCAAATCTTTTTATTTATTTAAAGAGACAGCTCATGAGAGTAAAACTCCATGCAATTTTGTCTCTATTACAATAGAAGATCTTAATGATAGCTCATTTTATTACATGTTTTGTAAAGTTCTAAGAAAACAGGTTTGGTGGATTTTGTGGATGAAAGTTGGATTTTGTAGATGGATTTTGCCATTTACAAGGTTACAGATATAAGATAAAGGGGGCATACTGAAGAATCTTGATACAAACCCAAGTCACTGTGAGGAGAAGGAAACGCCCAAGATGGTCTGTCTATACCCATCAATAAACAGATTGCAAAACACTAACATAAGGGCTGTCCTTATTGTAAGAAATCTTCTTTTTTGTAACTCATGTCATCAACAAAATAGCCTAAATAAAGTATCAAGTTAACAGGTAAACTAAACAGAAGCAATCACATTAATAGCCTTGTGCTTATTAGGTTCTTTCCTCATTTTGTTTTTTAAAGTTATAAACATTTTATCGGTTTCTTGGGACAGACACTTAACAGGATGCTATCTAGAGGCTATATTTAAACAATAGAAGGGAATTACTGAGGGGAAATGATTTGGGGGGTTGGAGAGAGCAGAGTAACAAGCATTTTCAAAATGAAATTGACAAATTGGCTCCCTACAATTTAATGAAAATATCTGCATAGGCCAAACCCCATCTTTGGTTTAAGCTAAATGTATTTCCTTTGGTGGCAACAGAAGTAGAAATTACACGCCATAACCTCTCCAGAAACAACGCAGGCTTGTGGTTGTAACTATATAAGGGGCTCCACAGAGTCCCAGAATGAAAAAGAACTATGTGTCTACATTCTATTTCTGTCCTTACAAATTTCTGATTTTTTTTCAGCTATCTAAGAAAAATTTGATATTGTTGTTGTCGAAGCACATTTAAACTTCAACTGAAATAACTGCCAGGTGATTCATGCCTATGGAGGTGAATATAACGATTGTATCTGGAGCCCCAGCGCGCCATTTTCATTTCACTTTAAATAAAAAACAAAATGTATCTATGTCAGTCAGTGCCCTTCTGCTGTGCTCAGAGGTATCAAACAGGCTACAATTATGATTGTGAAGTGATTGTGTCACATTGCAGGAAGGTTTATTGCTTTTGAGTCTGCTAGGCAGTAACACATTCTGTTTCATATTACTCTTTATATCATTGTTTGGCTGTGGCTAGAATAATCAAATGCCATCAAATGCTGTCAAATTCAATTTACAGTATTTTTCATTGAAGCGGGCTTTCTGCATTGTATTTCCTGTTTTCCCTCTCAATAGCTGCCATGGAATAGTCACTGTAATCATGAGCTTTATTTACAAAACCAACAGAGTGAAGCCACGTCTCGGGCTATAACAGATACTTTATTTCCCTTTATTCAGAATAGGAATTTGATGTGCTTTTCTCATACAATTAGCATTAAGTAGATGAAAGAAAACTATTCCGAGAGGATGGGCATTTTAGAGCCTGCACTAATGTGCTTAGCGTAAAATGTAAATTCACGTTAGCCATTTTTACATGTTCATGTATATTTGAATCAGAAATATTATTCTTCAAATTAATGTTTGCTGAGAAGAAATGTGGCTTGCTCATTTCCGGCACTGTCATTTACATAAACAGCAATGCAATAATACTTCCTCCTTTCGTAGTTTTCCTACATACCCTTAGCTCATCACTGAAGAGTGATCTGAATCAAAGGGTTTCAATATCTGAAGTTGTAAAACGAGCCTAAACTAAGTTTCCCCATTGTGTCCAGGGCGTAGGACCAAACAAGGGAAGGGAACGAGGCTGCTGGAGAGAGTAACAAAGGATGCTGAAGTGGGGATGAGGATGTGAGAAGAATGTGTTGTGCTTTGTAGGCCTGGTGTAAACACATGGCTTTTGGAATGGGGTTTTCAATCTGCAAATCTGCTATGTCTGCCAGTGTCTGCCTTAGATAGGGTTTTTCCTGTCTTAGAGCTATGGTCTGAATCACTGGGCCCCTACCTGCAAATTCCTACGTTGAAATCCTAACCCCCAAGGTGATGAGATTAGGAGGGGGGGCGTTTGGCAGGTGATTAGGTCATGAGAGTGGATTCTTCATGAATGGGATTAGTGCTCCGATGGAAGCGACCCCACAGAGCTCCCTTGCCACATCCACCACGTGAAGATGCGATGACACAGTGAGAAGACAGCTGTCCGTGAACCAGGAATTAAGTCCTCAACAGACCCAGAATCTGCCAGCACCTTAAAGCCTCCAGAACTGTGAGAAATAATTCTTTGTTGTTTATAAGCCATGCAGCCTATGGTATTTTTGTTACAGCAGCCCGAATGGACTAAGACAGATAGCAAGTTCTCAGTTGACGGGGTCTCTGCCCCTTGACTCGCTTTTGGGTTTTGGTTTTCCTTTCTCTTTCCCTCCTCTCCCTCTTTCTCCCTTGTCCTCGGTCTCAGTCTTACTTTCTCTCTGTCTGTCTCTCTCCTTCTCTTTTTCCCTCCCTCTCTATCTCTCTCTCCTTCTGCCCCTCCCTCTCCTCCTCCTCTTTATTATTCATTATTTATTTAAAGAAAACTTTAACTTAAAGCTATATCCACGTCGCTCAGGTGAAGGCTGAATCAGGGAGCACAGTACCCTTCAAACCAAAATGCCCACGCTCTCTCTCTCTCTGTCTCCTCACTCTCTCTCTTCTCTCCCTGTCCCTTCTCTCGTTTCTTGATTTTAGGTGGATACACAAAACATTCTGCACATCGGGTTGAAAAGAGGCTCCACCTACACCCTCTAGCCAGCTGAGTGGAAACTCATTAAAACAAAAGGGGAGCTGCTGCTATGAGCCACTCTTTCTGCATGTGAAAAGCACCACCTTCTGAGGATGAGAAAATGTCTCTCAAACCTCCACATAACAGGTGATGGGAAATAAATTCTCCTCCCAGATGTGGTTCCTCCTCTGGAATGTCTGTTCCAGTCAGCCTCTAGAGGGCTGTTCTTCCACTTCATCCAACACAGGGCTTACGTGCGCTATGAGGTCTCGTCTTTCAAACAGGTCCAAACAAAAATGTTACATGGTAGTTGTGGCTTTTTTTCTTGGATAACAGGTAAAAGTTTCCAGGACCAATTTTAGTCCCTAGTAGGTGCTTCAAAAATCATGAATTCCCATTTATTCTCTTATGGAAATAGAAAATGTATTTGTCTCTACAATTTTGGAGTAGTACCCACTCTTAAATAATTAAAAATAATAGTAATAGGCAACGTTACCTGTGAATAAAGTAGTTGGTGATGACTCCATTTGGCTTTTTAGGTGGCATCCACCGAACTCCTATGCAGGCTGACCCCAGTGCCTTAACAACAGGGGGACTCAGATCCATTGGGGCTGCTTCATGTGTTTTGCCAAACATCCTATTGCTAACTCCACAACTTCCTTGAAAAAAAAATCGAGACCTTCAGTAATTTATCAAGCAGGAAAAAGAGAGTTACATATGCATACACAAGGGTAAGGATATCATGAAAACCATTTTATTTGAACTTTTTTATACACATATTTTAGACTAGTACTATAAATCTCTATAAGATTTGAATATTTGGATAGGGAATCATTTTTGGAGAGTCCATTAATTACCCCCACATTTCTATAGGCATAGACAATAAAGCTTATGCTTGTCTGAATTGAGGTTTCTTTAGTGCGGTCATTTTAGGCAGAAAGTGATAATGTACTTGAATTTCATAAGTATGCATGTGACCTACACATCTTGTATGCTCTCAATAATATCTTATTTTTCCTGGTAGTTTAAAATATTGACCGTCTCTCAACACATGGGAATCAAACATGAATTTGAAGGATATTCTATCTCCATAGCATAGTTTTGGGGATATAGAGATGCAGAAGTTGATTTTGCATTTAAATCAAGACAACATTAACTTAAAACTATTTCCTTGTGGACTGGATGAGGGAAAGCAATATGCTTCAAAACAAAATCCCTTGGTCTAGTTTGTAGAGAGAAGTGTGCAAGCTGACTCACAATTTCAGAGAGGAAGCATAGCAAAATCGCAGATCCCTAGCCCTAACCAACTCTGTGGGAAGTGGCACTCATCTGCGAACAGGAGTTCCAACTATATGTTGGGTATGAGATTGGCAAATGTCTTTAATCTAAGGTGAAGCAATTTGTTTTGTACACTAATGTGAGTTACATCTTTTCTTCTTTTAGCACTTGGGTGTCATATATTATATAACATGTAGAGGGATGAAGGAAGTGAGAGAGGCTCTTCTTTAAGACCACATAGATAGATGATGATTTCATTGACCACTAGCCTATGCCATGAAACTCCAGGTGACAGTTTATGTATATGAGATAGGGTTCAGGGAAACACTGTAAAATATATAAGGTTCATCTGAGTGTAACTCGCCTTCTAAATAACGTCTCCCTTCCCACCACCCGCTTCCTGAATAAAACTTAAATAGAACCAAGGTGAGTACATTTCCTATGAAATTTTTGTAATACTCATTTTGTTTTATATTACCAACAATTCCTTTATGCGATTGAGGTGTTTTTCTTTTAAAGTGCCTTATAAAACAAGACTTTGCAAAACCACCATTTTAATGTATTTAAATATTCATGATTTAATGTGCAGAAATGCATAACGCTTCACTCAATGCCAAGCTCTGATTTTTCTGGGTAAACAGTCCAGTACAAACAAGAAATGAAATGTTAGTCTTCGAATTTGAATTGAGAATCTATTCCTTTTTAATGAAATTTTTTCTTATAAAATATTTTTTTATAAAAGCCCAGGACAAGTGTCTGAAAGACTTTTACCATTTTGACACGCTTGTATCCTTATCTCATACTGTGTGAATGGAGCCAAATTTTCCAGAAGGATGGATAGATGATGACCGACAGAGGAGGTCAGAGGAGATAGACTTCCGGCATTGAGTAAGACATTGTACTCCACAGGCATTTGAGGAATGAGGATCCCTTTAAAGAAAGAGAGAGAGTAAAATCATATATATATGCTATACAGAATGGTCCACAAATGTTCATCTTTAAAGAACAACGTATATTTAAAATGTTATAACTTAAAGGTATATCATTGCTTAATATAGCAATTAATAATGGCACTAAACTTAAGTTGGACAATATTAGAAAGCATATTCCAAAAGTAAGAAATGTGCATCACCCATTTTCAAAAACGAATGACGTATAATAATTCTATTCAAAGATATATTCCAAGGCCAAATAAAAACAAAGGCACGTTCACTTCTTAAAAAATACAAGGCAATTAGAAAAGGAGTCATATATTTTTCCTAGGCTCACTTATTCTTAAAGTACATAAAAAAACACCAGTTTTGCTTGTGACAATAATTTTTCTGTAGGCATTGTGTATGCATCCTGTCTGACACGGCTCCTTGACATAATAGCCCATAAAGTATCCAAATCTTAGGCTATCTAGAGAATTCCCAGTGCATTAATTACTGAGTCAGGACAGTCCACTCTGTCAGTGAGACTTATGGACCTAAATATACATGAAATTTGGGTTCAAAAACTGTCATTTTTCATAGTGCTTCTTAAAGAAAGGAGGTCTTGTCAATTTAGCCTTTTCACAATCTATTCATATAATTAAATGCCTGTAAGTTTTATTTCATCCTGAATAACAAGCATACTTTTTCAAGGAGAAGATACGTGCCTTGAATGGAGAATGTAATGGAGTTTCCCACTAAATTTTCTCATTGATCTGAGAGTGTATAACATTTTTGGGTTTAGTTACTTACCTTTGTGGTACTTAAATCAGTTTATCATTGCTATAGAAACAATGAAATCTATAGCATGGAACTCTCGCGAGAGATGAAGTCTAAAGAATGGAATGTGGTTTTGCTTTTTGTAGATATGGTTCCAACGTATGAAGGGTGGAAGAGCTAGTAAAAACCAGAGATGCTCAAGATTTTGTGCAGGATAGATGAAAATTAGGAGGCTCTGAAGGAAATATTGATCATAATCAGCAGGACTGATCAATCGTTTCCTTTGGAAAGGTGCTAGATTGTGCTGAACCCAGATTGAGAATTTTTATTTTAAATTTAGGGCATCCTAGTTAAACTGTCTAGTTGAGCTGCATTGGTCCTCAGAGCTTAAATCACTGTTATTCTGTCATTGATTCCTAAATTCTTATCTCTGGCTTTATATTGCTCCTGCATTCCAGACTTGTATTGTCAACAGCCTACTTCACAGAGACCTCAATGTCGACACGTCCCAAACAGAATCACCATATTTTCCACTCCCAAACCTGTTCTCCTTGGGTTTCCTTTCTCCATTTCCCTACTTTGGAGGGCTTAGGGTAAGACTCTTAGAGAAGATCCTGCTTTCTTCGTCGTCAAACTCAACTGACCACTAAATTTCGTCAACTATTTCTTCAAGAAATTTGGGCTTTATATATAATCAGCAACATGGAGATTTGGCAGGAGCTAACATGATCTAACCTACATTTTAGGAAGATAAGACTGCTGGCAGGCAGATGTGGGATCGAAAACATGAGAGCCAGGAGGTGGGATACCCGTGTGAAAGTCATTGCGTAGCTGCCGCAAAAACACAAGCAAGTGGAGCCATTTCACCGAAGTTCTGTTTTATGCCAGGCAGCATATATCTCATTTAATATCACTAGGACGTCAACTCCATAAAGTCAGGGACTTTGTCTCCTCCCCAGTGTAGTTCCAATGCCTAGATTTCAGCACAAAATCACAGCTCAAAAAATGTTCATTGATTGAATGGATGAATGAAGCCTCAGGACAATACTGTAAGGTAAATATGATTACCATTTTTTTTTAAGATGCAAAAACTAAGGCTCAGAGGAGTTGAGTAACTTGTTCCAGATTTCACATTGATAAATTTGAGTACACAGACTTGAACTCAGGCCCATCTGATACCAAAGCTTATCCTTCTGTATTTATGTTCTCTCCTGATATTGGAGATTTGAATTAGGACAACTGGGGGAAAAAAATGAAAGGATGGGGCTGGCCCAGTGGCTTAGTGGTTAAGTTTACACACTCTGCTTCAGCGGCCTGGGGTTTGAAGGTTCAGATGTCAGGTGTGGACCTACAAATTGCTCATCAAAGTCACACTGTGGCAGCGTCCCACATACAAAATAGAGGCAGACTGGCACAGATGTTAGCCCAGAGACAATCTTCCTCAAGCAGAAAGAGGAAGACTGGTAACAGATATTAGCTTAGGGCCAATCTTCCTCACCAAAAAAAAAGAAAGAAAGAAAGAAAGGATAATTTTGAGACAGGCAGAACATGTCTTGGAGAATGTTAGAAGCAGGGCAAAAAAGTGATGGAGGAGTTAGACTTACCACTGATTGAAGAAGATTATAGGCGAACATTTAAAGTTGTGAAGAGCAGTTTTCGCAAACTGAGATATAAATACCCAGGATGTTTGCAGACTGGTGTCAAAGTATTTTCAGAGACAAGGACAAACATGGTACCTCTTTCTGGAATACCACTTTGACTTGTAAAATTTGGAAAATGCATGACTTCTCTGCATGAGCAAGAGAAACCAGAAGAATCATACTTTTCCTTGTTCACAAAAATTCGGTATAGATTTTTCTTTCTAAAAAGCCCAAGATTAGGGGGCTGGCCCCGTGGCGGAGTGGTTAAGTTTGCGCACTCCGCTGCAGGCGGCCCAGTGTTTCGTTGGTTCAAATCCTGGGCGCGGACATGGCACTGCTCATCAGACCACGCTGAGGCAGCGTCCCACATGCCACAACTAGAAGCACCCACAACGAAGAATATACAACTATGTACCGGGGCGGGGGGGGGGGCTTTGGGGAGAGAAAAGGAAAAAATAAAATCTTTAAAAAGCCCAAGATTAGAAAATTATATGTGTACTGAGTGATTAGAGCTTTCACTAGCCAGTTGTTTTAAATCTGTAGTCACCTCAGAGTAAACTAACTGTACAACAGTAGAAAAAGTTTATGTGGACATAACCAGTGTGTTGAATAAGTACAAATATTATTCTTGATGCAGTCAAAACACAACTTTAGCCTCTATTGCTTTAAAATGAATTCATTGTGCATCAATGGATGAGTGGATAAAGAAGACATGGTATAGATATACAGCGGAATACTACTCAGCCATAAAAAAGACAAAATTGTGCCATTTGGAACAAGATGGATGGAACTTGAAGGTATGATGTTAAGCCAAATAAGTCAGATGGAGAAAGACAAACAGTGTATGATTTCACCCACATGTGGAAGATAAACAAACACATGGACAAAGAAAACATATTAGTGGTTACCAGGGGGAAGGAAGTGGCAGGAGGGCAAAAGGGATAAGGCGGCACATGTGTATGGTGAAAGAAAAAAACCAGACTATTGGCAGTACACACGATGCAGTCTATACAGAAACTGAAATACGATAATATACACCTGAAATTTACATAACGTTATAAGCCAATAAGACTTCAATAAAATAAAAAAAACATAAATGAATTCATTGTGGGTAATCTTCCACAGACACAGGATGAAAAGTTGGCTGGGCCCATGACGTTTCTGCTCAGTCTCGGGTAATACACTGTTCTATGTTATTCTTTTCCATGAAGGAAAAAAGAAAAAAAAGACAAAGATTACTGCCTAGAAAATTTACATAAATTCACCTTTCTCTTTAACGGTATAGTGAATACACATAATGGGCTTATTTAGAAGATATTCTTCGAGGACTAATTCTCAACTGTGAGACAAAACTGGGACTGCTTTTACTGCTCCTGATGAGACTGCTGTAATTAAAAGGAAGTTTGAGAGTTGGATGAAGAGAGTTGATTACAGGGACCATTTGAGACTCTCAGTTCCTTAATGGATGAGGAAAACCTAAGTACTGTATTAGAGGTAAAATAAAGAGCAACACAATCAGGCTATTTTTTTTTCCTACTAAAAATGTTTTTTGGAGAGTGTTGCTCGAGGTAGTGAAAGGGATTGAAGAGTGAAGCAGGGACCCTCTCAATTTGCACTTTGACCTTTCAGCAGGAAGATGTGCGTATGGAAATTTCCATCCAGAGTATCTTGCAATGTCACAGTATTCCACCTCACATTTTGGGCATTTTTACTTTTTGCTACCCTGGCAGTGGGCAAAGGTTGCTGTTTGTACCCACATATTCATGATAAAATGAAGAGAGGAAGAATTGCCTGACATTAAGCCTGTTTTGGGGGTCAGCTTTTTTTTAGAATAATCTAATATCCTAAAATATAAGAGCATATTACTCTTTAGCCAAAGAGATCAGTAGAAAAAATGCCCCTGATGATAAATGATACATTACGTTATTTTTTGGCGGAAGACAAACATGTTGGAATACAATGCCAAATTTGCATGAATCGCTAAGATAAAAAGCAAGACCTTAAAGAAATTGTCAACGTATGATGATTGTTTCAGGTTGTTTCCAGACTTCCTGGGATGACACGTTCCTTCTGTCTTCTCTTTTCCTAGGGTCGATCTTGTAGAAAAGTTTGACAAGCACTCATTTGAAAAATATGCCGTGACTCTTGTGGAACTAGACAAGCCACAGAGCAGAGTCCGACAGGCGAAATCCCTCCTCTGCCCTCGTTTGTCCCTGGTAAATTACCCAACCTCTCTGAACGCCAGTCTCTTCGTCTGTAAAATGATGATATTAACAGTGGCCTCATAAAGAGCTGTAAGGATTAAATTAGGAAATGCGTTTAAAGCATTTTGGTGCCTTCTAGTTACATAGAAAGTGCTAGATAAATGACAGACATCTCTACAAAACAAAATGGAACAAAATGGAAAAGCAACCCACAACTATGACAGGCACTGCTATCATGTGCCCTTAACCCTTCTGAACCCATCTTTTATATAAAGTTGCTATTCCAATTACAAATAAATGTTATATTCATTCAAACAATTATCTTTGTGACAATATTTGATTTAGTTTTTTTTTAAATTTTATTTCTTTCCTTTTTCTCCCCAAAGCCCCCTGGT